AACGGGTTTTTTATTGAACTAAACCTCAAGAAAATCATGTTTCCTTTCAATTCAACCACACCAAACAATTTTATTTACCCCCACAAATTTTAAAACTCATCCCTTTTTTCTCTTTATTCCACCAAGATGCTACTAAAGAGAAAAAGAGGAGAATGTACAAAAGTGATAACAAAGCCGTTGGATGAGAAGATGGCCGTTGAGTTAAAGAGGAATTTCAGTTCCCACCATTTTATAACACTCCCCACTTTCTAAGCTTTGGAGCACTCACTCGTCATTCTTCTCTTCATCCATCACTCGACTCGAGGTAAACTGCATCATGTTTTTTGCTATGTGTTTATTATAGTCTGTTGCAGCTTGTGGTCATATTTTATACCTCTAGCGTTATAGTTACGAAAACGATTCGCTTTTGAGTTTTAACTTAGACGATAAATGCAAATGACAAAAGCAACTGCTTTCCTCTATCTTGTTATTCTTCTCCTTCCTCGTGTTGTGCCGAGAGCAAATGTCACTGCAGACCTGCACTCGGACAAAAAAGCCCTTCTCGAATTTGCTTCAGCCGTGCCACAGGCTCGAAAACTCAACTGGAGAAAAAACTCTTGTATTTGCAAGTCTTGGTCAGGGATCACTTGCACAAGCGATGGCACTCGCGTGATGGCCCTTGGCCCAATGCCTCAAAGCACATTGGGCCGACTGAACGGGCTCAATATCCTCAGCCTTCGATCCAAGAACCTTAATGGGAACCTTCCGTCTGATGTCCTTTCTCTCACTTCCCTCCGATATATTAACCTCCAACACAACAACTTTTCGGGCGATATACCTTTGTTATCCAACTTCTCTTCACAGCTCAATGTCGTCGATTTTTCGTTCAACTCGTTAACAGGGGAAATCCCAGACGCGTTCCAGAATCTCACTGCTCTCTACGTCCAAAACAATTCTCTATCATACCAAATCTCGATTTTCCAAACCTTAAGCAATTCAATGTTAGTAATAATAACCTTAGTGGATCAATTCCATCCCATCTCCGAACATTTCGTGCCGATTCCTTCGCTGGAAACTCTTTGTTGTGTGGGGGGGCGCTCGTTGACTGCCCTTCCGTTTCTCCTTCTCCTTCTCCAACTTTCTTTCCGCCATCAACTTCTCCGGGCCCTGGCCCATTTTCACCGGTATTTCAAGAAAGAAGCACAATAAGCAAGAGGACTATAATTGCAATTGTTGTAGGTGGCGCGGCATTTCTAGTTGCCGTGGCTCTGGCAGTGTTGGCATGGTGTTTTTGCGTCCGGCGAAAAAGAAGTTCCAAAAGTGGAGTGGTTAAAGAAAAAGCCCTTGAGAAGGAGATGATGCCGAAAGAAGACTTTTCGAGTGGAGTCCAAGACTCGGAGAAGAACAAATTGGTGTTCTTCCAAGGAACCTCGTATAATTTCAATCTCGAGGATTTGTTGAGAGCCTCGGCTGAGATTCTTGGGAAAGGAAGCTTCGGCACGACGTATGCAGCTATTCTCGAAGAGGGATCGGAGGTTGTGGTGAAGCCGCTGAGGGAGGTGGTGGCCGGGAAAAGAGAGTTCGAACAGCAGATGAAGATCATCGAGAGGCTTAGCCGTCACCCAAACATTGTTCCCCTCATCGCTTATTACTATTCTAAGGATGAGAAACTCCTCGTTTATGATCGTGCAACTGCTGTTCATGGTAATCTCTCTCTCTCTCTCTCTCTCTCCCATCTCTCTCTCTCTCCCTCTCTCTCTCTCTCCCATCTCTCTCTCTATATATATCTCTCTCTCTCTCCCATCTCTCTCATAAATGATGATGATGTGCAGGGGATAATGAGAATGGACGAATTCTCGATTGGGAACTAAGGGTCAATATTTCGCTAGACACAGCCAAGGGAGTGGCGCATATACATTCGTTTAAGTCAACTCACGGCAACATCAAGTCCTCCAACGTACTCATCACACAAGACATGAGTGCACACATCACAGATTTCGGCCTCACTCCTTAGATAGGAACCCCCCCATCTATCCCACCAAGAAGCACGGGTTACCGAGCACCCGAGAAGCTCGAAACTGGCAAATCGACCCAAAAGTCAGATGTTTACGCCTTTGGAGTTCTCCTCCTGGAATTGCTCACCGGAAAAGACGTGGCCTTGGACCAATCTCATCACGTATCATCAAAATGCTGAGGGTGAAATGGTCCAAATGCTTAATGGCGTGTGTGGCAAAGGCACCCGAGAGGCGGCCTGCAATGGATGAGATTGTTAGAATGATTGAGGAAATCCGCCATCCCGATTCTGAGAACCGACTATCGAGGAGCACAAGTCCAACATTGTAGACACAAGTTTAATACTGTTGCATCTCTCTAGATAAGGCTGCACCAGTATAGGAATAATTCAATTTCAAATGCAGTACTTAGACCTCCTTCATCAATGTAAATTTGCTTCTGAAAGTAGAAAAGCGTCTGATTGTTTTGCTCAAAGAGCAGTAGTCATATATCACAAATTAAAATTTTGTTTTCATTCCGTTTCGAGTATCACAAATGAATCATGGCTAATATAGCCCACGTCCTTACAGAACCCAGTCTAAACAGTAAAACAAAAGAAACTATATAAACTGAGGCGGGCTCTTTCTGAACACACTGTTATGATTGTATCTACCTATTTAGAAAAAAACAAAGGCACAAATCTCTGGTGTTAGAGTTTTTNNNNTTCCTGTTGAAAATTGTAGAAATTTATATAACCCTGAGGTGGGCGTCAATATCCTAATTTTTCAGTTACTATCGACTAAATCAGCTCCACTAACATATCTAGCAACAAAGGATATTAAACGAAATGGGGCACCAATCAAAGGGGAATCAACGAGTCCAACGTCATCATCCTGAGGCAACCCCACATTCTTTTCTTTAGTTTCAGTCTCGTCTAATGGGATATGCCTGATTTCGTCGACCTCTACAATTTCTGATGATTTTTCAAGCCCACGGCCATCATAAATATTCATGGGCTGACTGTTCCTCTGATTCTCAACAATGGCATCTTCAAAAAACTCTGATGCGGGCATTGTCTTGCTAGCTTTAGATATTAAATCAGTTGCCTGATTAGCATTGTGGCCACCATTAACCGACATTGTGAATTCGGGTGCAGAAGCTGAGATATCAGCATATTGATGTGTTACAGCCCCTCGAGTGGCTTCAGAAGAAATCTGGCCTCTTCCTATGCCCCTTTGGTCAAGCTCAGCATTCAGCTCATTTATCTGAAAAATGCCGTGATTATTAGTTATTCAGCATCCATTTATACTCAGTTACTCATTGTAATACGAGGAAAAAAAAAAAGAGGGATAGACAGAAAGAAAGAAAAACTTATCATCAAAGGATGTTACACTCGGCTGGGACATTAAGACATAACCATACTGCTAAAATCAGTCACAATTCACAACCCAGTCATATTTGTCATGATACCTTTTCAACGAGCTCTGAATTTTCCAAAACCAATTTCTCAACCAGTGCACAAGCAGCTTCCAGCTGGCGGTTCGCATCCCCATCTTCAGAAGTCTGAATCAGAAGTAATAAAAAATGGCCTAGTTAACGATCATGAGATGGAAAACAGAAAAGTAAAAAGAAACACAACTCCTCGTCAATCAAATCTCAAAACAGAAGATTAAGAATTTAAGATTATACCACTTTGTTGTCCACAGATGACAGATGAATAGCAGCAGCGTTCTCAAGATTACTGATCTGCAACTGTAGACCGGACACAGTTTGTGTCAACTGTAGTTTATCGTCTAGGAGACCTTCCTTTGAACTCTCCAGCTCTATCACCTGAAAGGCTCTGATTTTAAGTTCCGCTATCAGAAAAATAGGGATGCTTCAATTGAATAACACTATTATTTTTACAGGAGTGCTAAGGATAAGATTTGATGGAATAGGAAGTCACATAAAAGCATAAATATGGCTATTTAGAAAACACAATGGTTGCATTTGATGTGAGAAACCCAAACAAGAAACCTAAAGAGTTAAAGGAGGGTATTTGATGATGATTAACTATTAATTTATGTTACTAACTGGTACCCGAGCTCGTAATTTGATAATTTCATCAGTAAGGCTGGCAACAGATTTCCCGGCTGAGGACTGCCACAATTCAACAGAAAATTAGAATGAATATAATTACCCCTATGGATATGCAGGTAATTATGACAATGCAGAGATATTGTTAACTGTAACTCTCACAGACTAGTCAGCTGTCAGTAAAGAAAGAAAAAACAATATTCAGTCTACCATACACCATGTCATATTGTAACTGAATGAAGCTAGTTTTCAGCCAAGTTCACTAGTACTACAATACAAATATGGTCAGTAAGTTCAAATTGATTCGAAAAATTTGTAAATTTCTTTGGTTTGGAATGAAAATAAGCCCGGTTACTAATAAAACTGTTATAAACTACATTAACAGCACTTTTGGAGTTTCAAATTGTTACAAAAGTGGTTACATGCTTAATTAGCAAGAAGTAATAATATTAAGTGGCTACACTACATCATTAGAACGAATAAAAATGTAACTTATAGGAGCAACACTAGAATGACTCAAAATTTTACTCCCCACCTAAGGTTTAATCAGATTGATATTAGTGGTGTGTAAGCTTATCAAATTACTTATTGCCCGACATTTCCATCCCCATTCATTTCTACAGCTGTCAAAAGGGGATATCTGGTTTCTATTTCTTTTTTAAAATTTTGGGGTTTGAGTGGAGGAGAGGGGAATATGAATCAAATAGACCTTCACGTACCGGGTTGGCAACCGGTGGATGCCTTTTCAAACGGTAATTGATACCACCTGAGCTACATGCTCATGGTAGGGTGTCTAATTTTGACAAAAATGCTTGTTTGTGATTTGAGAATGTAGCATAAATGGAAGGAAAATGCTAGATGTACATAAATAGTTGATAAAAAAGTTTGACATAAACAATATGTAACTAGTGGTTGGTTATTCTAAAGATGGTGAGATGAGTAAAATAATGAGATCGTGCCACATATGCATTATGTTAAGATGTATGTCAACCTTTATTTTCTTGTAGCATGACTCAAAGAAGAGAAGGCATTCCATCAAGATGAAAGCACTTTTACCTCTTCCAGGATCCATGAATCTCTTTCTTTTTCCATCTGCTTTATCTTTTCTTGTAAGCTCACCTGTGTAGATGTCATGTAAATTTATCAAATCATCTCATTACCTTATCTTCTACCACGATCTAAAGACAAGAAGTTGAAACCACATAAAGTAAGTGACATTAAATTTTAATAAAATCACCTCTTTCTGGACCCATGAATTCTTCTCACCCTCCAGTTGCAGAATTTTCACTTCTAGACTAGCCTAATACACAAACACACACACACACACACACACAAAAAGAAAAAAAAAAGAATCTAAGCTTTAGCTAGGACTCATTAAGGGGAGAGAAAAACAAGAGGGGAAGCAATGTAAGAGAGAACAAAGCATTTTTTCCTTCAGTAAGAAATCTAATGATGCAGTACCTCTTTCTGCCGGTAAACTTCAACCTCCCTCTGTAACTGTAGAATATTCTGTTCCAGAATACTCTACAAATCAAGAAAAATTCAGCTGACGGAAAAGTATTAACTGGAAACTGGTGGGTTGAAGTATTCAAAATATTGATCTCATTTTTTTTATTGTCACAAATATATATTACCTTATCGTGGCTCCAGACGTCTTTTTCACTTTCCAACTGCACAAGTCTCTCCTTAAGGCCAGCCTGTACAAGCCAACATTGTTTACAATTTTACATGTTGCTCTCATTCTCAATTGTTTGTACAAATATAAGAGACCAGAAAATTATGTTGCGTAAATAATATATTTCCAACTGACAGTTCAGGTCAGTTTATCTCGAAAGGCGAAACTACCTCATTACGCATGGATGCATTCTTTTCATCTTGTAATTGTTTGATATATTCTCTTTCACTGGCCTGCAGTGAAAGAGAAATGAATGTAACAATAGTATAATACCTTAAAATAAGACAAGTCACATACTTTATACGTATTAAAGGCATCCACAGGCAAATTAACTGCTACCTGTTTCTGTGCATTTTCATCCATTTCCTTCTGCAACTGCTTGATTCTCTCCTCCAGCAGAGCCTGCAAATGAAAATAAGAAAACTCATTCACTGAAATGGATTTGTTCACATAGAATATGTGCCGTAATGTATACACATAAAGTATTACCAACACATAATATATAACCCCACAGCGAGGAAAAGAAATACAATTTTGTTTAAAAAAAAAAGGTGAAAATTTCAATACCTCATTCTGTATGGATGTATTCTTCTCATTACGTAATTGTTTGACCTTTTCTCTTTCACTGGCCTGTGAAATATACTGTCATGAAATCTAATACCGCGGTGACATTATACATTACGGATTGTATAACTGAATGAATAATGATTAGTTAAACCCTCCACAGTTAATCAAACTGCTACCTCTTTTTGTGCAATTTCAGCCTTTTCCTGCAACAACTGATTGATTTTCTCTTCTAGGGAACCCTATAAAGCACATGAAAATCTACTTAGACTTAAATATACACATCCACAGAGGCACAAACAGAAAGCACATATGCAGAAAGAAACATAGACAAATTTACTTTTAACACAATGAGTTCGGAAAATAATAACCAAAAGAGAAGAAATAACAAAGAAAAACCAATTTCAAGGAATTTCACCTCTTTCTGTATTAGGGCATCCTTTTCAGCTTCAAGTTCTTTAACTTTTTCAAGAAAACTAGCCTGTATAACCCTTGGATTAGTTCTTTTTCCTCGAACAAGAATAAAAATAAGAAATGGAATGATAAAATGTGAATCATAACATCAGATGGATCAACTTTTTCTTGAAAACTAACCTGTATAACCCTCAAATTAGTTCTTTGCCTAGACAATGTTCGAAATAAGAAATGGTACGATAAAATGTGAATAATGACATCAGAGAGGTCAACTTTGTCCTTACCTCTCTGCCCAGCCAATACTGCTTCTCAGACTTGGGTAAATTTGCCTGGGAATCAACAGGAAAGTCCTGCAAAAGTCCAGGTAATCAAAACTAAGAAAAAGGATGTGACACCGTGAATACTTTCTCAAGCATGTCATGGGCAGTGGCAGAGTTATACACAAAGAACAATAACAACTTACTTCTTTACTGCCATTGGCATGATTCAAACCGCTGTCAACATCTCTACACCCTAGAGCATCGTTTGACGAACCTTTAACTCCTGATACTTCACAGTTACAATTTTGTTCAACCTCAATAGCATGGCTTTGGCCATCGGAAGTCGATTTGCTAGCATCAAGTGTGACACTTTCTGTCGTCTTAGTAGCTTGCTTATTCTTCTTCTTCTTGTTTTTTCTCTTCTTCTTTTCTTCCTCCATAATAGGATCAGGTTAGCTTAAACGAATAATTGCACCAGTATTTGAACCAAGCTAAATCTGCTATGTGGAAAAAAGAATTTAGCTTAGCAGCATGACTGCTTAGTTTATTATTATGTCAAAGTTGTGAGCATCAGGGGGATTGGAAAATTCATAAGGCGTTGACCCATAAAAACGCTACAATCAAACTCAATGCAGAAAAGCAAATGCGAGGATGAATATCAAATTAAAAATCTAATCTTGATGCAGAAAAATTTGTTGTTATTTTCCCCCATAGACCAACTAATAGCCTGAGCATGTAATTCTATGACATGGGCTTAGCCAAAATCATGCTCCTAAGCAGAATAGAGGTCACAAATTTCAGAAATCTATTGCAAGGTCAGTGCTTTATAATATATATACAGATCGAATGGAATTTAGCTCGGAAACAGAACACATTCCAATTTTCATTACAAATAGAATATCGGCACTAATCACTAAAGACAAACATCTAATGCCCATATAACTTCTTCGCGTGTCAAACGTATCAATGCAGTAAAATCCGTGCGATGACAGTAGATGCTGAGATTAAAACGAACAACAAATCGATTGATTCAAACTTAATTTTAAACACACACACACACTCACACACAGAGAGAGAGAGAGAGAGAGAGAGAGAGAGAGAAAATTTGACCTACAATCAAATGAAGAAGCTTGATGAATCGAGGTCGGTGCCTTTCTGCCTCACTGGTTCTACACAACTGAGTCCGAGATTTGGCGACGAAAAATGCAGCAGCATTGGTTGAAGGCTTTTTTAAGTTTCACTTTCCCAGATAATAATTCCAAGATTAATAATCAAAATTTTATTTTTTTCCATTTCTTCTATTGCACTAGTTGTGGCTAGGGATTAAACCTTAAAATCGGATGTGTAATGTATTATAGCAATATATTTATGACATGAAAAGTTTCATCCATCTAAGTTATTAGCATGCCAAATCATCATAAATATGAGTTGAATCTAGGTTTACAAAAGTGAATTAAATTAATGATGCATGACATATTTTGCTCATCTATAGTAATATAAATAGGTTGTTGGAAAAATATTTTTATAGTAAGTTTGACTAAAAAAATAAATAGTTTGACTTATTATTAATGGAAATTTCGAAAAAAATACATGTACCAAAAAAATTGAGATTTTTATGGTAACAAATTTGAAGATTTTAATGGTAACAAATCTAATTGAGTATCCCAAAAAAATTGAAGATTTTTATGGTAACAAATTTGGAGATTCCTATACCAAAATTTAATTCATTTTAAATATTAATCCATAGGAATCTACTTTTATTGGTAACAAATTTAAAAATTGTTATGCCAAAAAATTGAGATTTTGAATTGAGATATTCCAACAATTACGGATTTTTTTTCCTATTCAAATTAATGTTGTAAATCAAACAAAAAATTATTCCAAAAATAATGGATGTTATACCAACTATTGATAAACTTCAATCCCATAGGAAATTTTTATGGGATTCTTATGGTAACAAATTGAGATTCTTATGCCAAAAAATTGAGATTTTGAATTGAGATATCCTAACAATTTCGGATTTTTTCCCCTTCAAATTCATGACGTAAATCAAACAAAAAATTATTCTGAGAATAATGGATGTTATACTAAATATTGATAAACTCCGATCCATAGGAGATTTTTATGGATTTCTTATGGTAACAAATTGAAGATTCTTATGGTAACAAATTTGGAGATTCTTATACCAAAATTTAATACATTTTAAATATTAATCTTATAGGAACCTATTTTTATTGGTAACAAATTTGAAAATTCTTATGCCAAAAAATTGAGATTTTGAATTGAGATATATCAACAATTACGGATTTTTTTTCCATTCAAATTAATGTTGTAAATCAAACAAATAATTATTCTGAGATAATGGATGCTACACTAAATTAATATCACTGGGCCCACACGTTAATATGATATTAATTAGATAGATAAATTACGTAAATCTTTCCTAACAAAATGCATTCCAATATTGTTAACCAATTTAATGGAATTTTCTTAACTAATTTGATAGGATTTTGGTAACCACGGGATTTTGTTAGTTTTTCGTGGAAACACGAATCTTCATTATTGATAAGGTTTGATAAGATTTTGTTTCCAATTTTTTTTTTATTTTTTTTCCTCTCTCAAAAATTTGATAAGGTTTGATAAGATTTTGTTTCCTTTTTTTTCTCTCTCTCGAAAATTTGAGTCGTGGATTTGAAAAAAATAAATAAATAAAATAAACATATCATATTGATAAAGTTTTAGTGTGGGCATAAAAATCAATTTTGATTTGATTGAACTTTGTTTCATATAAACCTAAGAGAATCAGACGTTTGAAAAAATAAAATATTAATAGTAAATAATCCTACCATATTTGTAAAGTTTGATTTTGAATATTGAGGCATAAAAATCAATTATGATTTGATCACATTTTGTTTTATAGAAATTATCTTAGAAAATTTTACACGTTTCAAAAAATTAAAGATTACTCCCTCCTTTTTAAATTAGATGTCGTTTTGACTTTTTTGATTCATCCATTTTGTTACGTATCTAGACATAAAAAATATGTCTAGATACGTAGCAAAATGGATGAATCAAAAAAGTCAAAACGACATCTAATTTAAAAAGGAGGGAGTATAATTTACTAAATTAAAGTTTTGGATTTGTCCAAATAAATAGATCAAAATGAAAATATTATTTTTCAATCTATCCAAAATGTCTTACCAAATTTCATTGTAACAAACTCCATTATTTTTGGCTACATAATCTTCTAAATATTGGTTCGTCCCTCACAAGTGAATCACGTTCCCTATTTTTTTTTTAACAAAACTGATAACACATATTTTTAGAAGTCAATCATAATCATAATAAAAAAAATCGGATCAGATCATATTAAATACCTTACGTAAATATTTTTTTATTTCCTAGACATATGGCACATACACATAACTATAAACATCACCAACGTTGAACAAAAATTATTCGACATCCAATATATCCCACAAAACAATTTTTTCTACAAGCTTTTACATCACCATTGAAAATGGCTTCGGATTTTGGAGTAATCAAGGATATCAAAAGATCCAATAAGCCACCAATCAAGCTACGCATAATTAGGATGTTCGAACGAGTTGAAGACGTACGCAATTATCGAAATGTGCTTGAGATTATCTTTTATGATTTTGAGGTAATATATTCATTTAGTATTATTTAAATGCATCATTTTATGCAACATCTTTTATAATTTATTTATTGAAGTATTCATTATGCAATGTTTTAGGGAGGATGAATTACTGGCATAATTCGACCTGTTAATATCCAAAAAATCCTCGTTGATATTGAAGAAGGTGGCGCTTATATTTTGACAAACTATCAAGTGAAAAGCAATACTGGCATCCATAAATCGACGATAGGTAAAAGGGGGATCATTATCAATGGTCAAACCAAGATTATCAAATGGAGAGGTGATTTATCAAATGGAGGGGTGATTTCTCTATTTCTAACTTTAATGGATGTTCGTAACATTGATGAAGTCATGTTGTTTGGTACGTTATAATTTTTTTGTTTATTTCTTATTTCGATTTTTTTAATTTAAAATCTGTAATAAACTATTTTATATGTTATACATTTCAATATGATGCATTTTCTTATATTTTTGTAGATGTTATTGGATTAATTGTTTCGCATTATGTTTTCTTACAACATGACTATAAACAAGAGTCAGGAACAATCATTATCGCATGTGGGCTTCTTTCTTAAGAAACCAGTGTTTAGTCATGGTCAATTGTATGTTGCTGTCTCCCGTGTCACAAACAGAAATGGGTTTGAAAGTCCTAATTTGCGGCGACGATGACGTGCCAAAGAATCAAACCATGAATGTTGTATATAAGGAAGTGTTCAATAATATATAGATTTTATTATCATTGTATTTATTAATTTATTTATTGTTAATGGCATGATCTTTCCTTTAGTAAGTACTTTGAATTTTAACTGAACATTGCTTTATAAAAGGGACGGAGATAATAAACCCCCGTGCATCGCACGGGACTGTACTAGTATTTCATAAGACAAGGCCAAGTTATTTTGACACCACCCTGTGAAATACTACGCACATTAGCTTTTCATGATCCATGAAAGTGTTAACTTATAAAATAACCAGAATGGTGCTTGGACCCGGAGATAGCTTTGGAACTAATGATACGTTGGTCAGGGCCGTTCACAGCTTGTTACTAAAAGATTGGCGAGCGAGGATTCAACATGTGTATAGGGAAGCTAATTTCGCGAATGACTTTATGGCGAGTTTGGCGTTTTCCACTACTTTGAGGCTGCATCGTATGACCTCTCCTCCCTCCTGTTTAAAAACATGGATTGATCATGATCTTAGTGGGTGGGATATCTCATCCCCGGCGAGTCTAAGACTCATCATCTTCCTAGGCCATTGGCCTTACCCAAAAAAAAAAGCACTTATAAAATAACATATAGGTAAAATATTTTCTATTAGTATTAGCATATGTTTATGCACAATTCATTAGAAATTTGATTAGTGTGTATCTCGTGCGATGCACGGGAACTTATTTGGCCGTCCTGTCGTAGACACCCAAATTAACCTTGCTTAAAAGTATGTAGTAGTGTGAGCAAAGATCGTATCCACGGAGAGAAGTAAACGAAATCTATCAACTATGTGATTAAAAGGGGAGAATTTGATTTAATGATGTAATTAAATTAGAAGTTACCTATCAAACAATAAATTAAAATAATAATAAAATAAAAATCAATAAACAGAAATAAATATAATATGAATATGTCTTGGTTGAATTGATTTCTACCATAGACTGTCCCATTGATCATTGATGCAAAAATATAAACTCACAATCCATGCAACTGCCGTTGAATATAAATTCTATGTCCTAATTTAGTCACGCAAAATAAATCTTTCTACGAGACTTTCATGACTAGTTAATTCCCAACATCGTGAAGAATTATTCTAGCATTAGCATTAAATACAAGAGATCGACAGTCCAAGCAATAAATAACTAATTCGTTAAATATTAACTTGTTCAATTGTTTCGCCCAAGAACAATAACGCCTAAATCCGGTCAATTATCTTAGTTGCTTCTAGTGAAAGATACATGATCTAAATCTGACTCAAGTATCAAACAAGTAATTGAACGTATGCATATAATAACAGGTGGCCAGTCTATCAACTAAGCATGACAATCATAAAAATATGCACACGAAACATTGATGTGAAAAATATATGAATTGGAATAAAAACTAATTCGATCTCACAGTAGTATGTTCGGGGTTTCGATCGTCTTCAACCAAGACAAAGATAAATTTGCCGCGCAGGCTATCATAATCCCAAAGAAAAACAAAATGAAAAGATGAAAAAAATGAAAGAGAAGAAGAGAGAAGAGAGAACCGCCCTTATGCTCTGTTCTTGCGTGAGTTATGTTGCTCCCTGTAGATCTGTTGTGCTTGTTGTTACGTATGATGTAGGTTTAGTATTCTATTGGACTTAATTAATTTGAGCCCAGTTGAAAAGTTTGTTCCAAAATTATACCAACATGACCATGTCACAATATCAAGGCAAAACTAACACTGCCATGTTAGTTGTATTTAACCTGGTAGTCAGAAGCTGGCAAGACCTCTTAGCAATCTCAATTGATTCCTTGTTCAGCCTCATCCATAATTTAGTATGCTTAAGGACCTTCAAACTGCATAAAAACACAAACAACGATAGTCTCTGCTCAAAAATGCAAGATAATGTCAAACATATGTCAATTGAACTCAAATGTTAATTATAAATCATAAATTAATCCAATAAATCGACAAATATTTTTGACTTATCATTATTCCTTAAAACTTTTTTTAACTTTATTTTAAATATAATTATTTATATTTAAAACATCCTTTATTGATTTCCTAATATGCATTTTTCATAATCAATTACCATACAAATAAAATAACTAATTAAGTGACATAATTAATTCCTATAAAAAAATAAGCAACTAATTAATTATCATTTATATTACCCCATAAATATATCAGCCAAATGCGGGATTATTCAAATTTGTTTGAAAAATATTTCCAAAAAAAATTAAGAAGGCTCCACAAAACGTAAGAGATATAAAAGACTTTGAATAAAAACATGAAATATTCAAACTTAATGATTTATTATTTATTTAGTTATTATCATTAACTTATCTATAGATATATTTTTGTTTAAAGCATGATATGTAATCATAAAGGTTTAGTTAAAAAGTATATATTTTATTGTTAAATCTATTAAGCACAAAATAAAAATGTGAAGCATTGACATATTATTTTATTATAATTATTTATACATAGATTAAAAAAGTTTTAGAAACGTTTGAAAACTTAACTACCTGATGAAATATTTGATTTCAAAACAATATAGATATTATAATCATATAATTTATTTGCTATGTTTATGGTTTGTAATTATCCTATAATTCCAAATTCTTTCTAATTGACCATAGTTTTCGAGTATTCTCATAGATTTCGAGATTATTTAAACTACGAGTACTTTGAATTTTTCTTTTTTAGTTTATTTAAGCGATTCCAAATTTTTGGAAATATTGATAAATATTTTAATTTGTATATAATAAATGTTAAAATGAAAATAGGAAAAATATTTCCAACATGTAAAAAAATTGAAATTTAAAAGTAAAAAAAGACGTAATATTGGAAAAGGAAAAAATAATATAGGAAAAAAAAAAAAATTGTCATGCTTCATAGGAAGAATTTATAATAGGATACTCAACAATTTATTATTTTACTATTGTTAATAATTCTAAATATCTAATTAGGGATATTAAAATCAAACCAAAACAATACCCACAAAAAAAGAAACAAAATTAAAAAAAAAAGGATAAAATTGAGATAAATATAGACATCAAAATAAAATAGAATGCATATAAATTAAAAAAGATAATTTATGTTACTTTAAAAAATTCTAAATATTTCCAAACAATTATGGGCGGGAGAAACTAAAAAAAGTCGAAGAAAACAATTTCATTAATAGTAAAATCCAAAAATTTGAGCGGGATTGTCATACTATTTTTATATTTTTCTTTATTGCCATTATATAGTAATAGATGTCGTAAAGCCAACATTCAATATCTAAATAAATCCCCGCTTAAGTGACAGTTTCGCATGCTTCGGAATCCTACTCGGTGAAAAAACATGATTCATAGTTTGATTTGGATAAAAAATAATATTATTCTAAATCAATAATTTTATATTTGGACATTCAAAAAATATTGAAAAACTAACTCGACAATTTCATAATAGTTTAACTATATAAGAGCATCTCCAATGCTATGAATTTGAAAGACCATTATTTTTAACACATGTCAATTAGTGATTGTAATGTTAATCCACATTGGAATAATGTTAAAAGACTAAAAATTTGAATGAAACTAGTATCTCCAATACATAAATTTGATAAGAAGTTATTTGTATAGGTGGACCAATTAAATAATTCATTGGTACAAGAAAAATAAAAAATTAAAACAAATATAAAGTAAATTGATGAATCATCATGTTTAACATGGTGTTAGATATTAGAAAGTATGCTCAACATTGTCAACATTAAATGACATCCACCTCATCATGAAAGAGTTCTTGACAAGATAGTACCACACTTTCAAAAGTTGATAATATGGATGACATTTTATCATGTCAAAAGTCACATTGGAGATGCTCTAACTCTTAAGTTGTATGGTAATCTTTGATAATGATATTAATTGACTAATATAACATTGATTTGTTCTGAAAGCTCTCAATCGGCTCATTAATTTTCATGAAAACATCAAATTAGACTAATAAAACATATATTTAACTTTAAACAACTTTTGTTGTTATTATTATTTAATTTTAAAAATAATTTCTTAACAAGTATCCGTGTAGTGCACGGGTATTGTAATTGTAATTGTTGTTAATAATAAAAAAAACATGTAAATAGAAAAAAAAAAATCTTATATCACGATTAACAATACTTATAACAACAAGGGTAAAATGGAGAAAACACATACATGGTTGCCTTCGTCTTCGTATTAGGGATGGTGCATAAAGCCAGTCGATGCGTGAGATCGAAGAGAAGAGCAAAAATCGTGTCGATAGGCCGTTGGTTTTCTCTGCTTGACCCTCGCTTCGTCATTTGAGCGCCCTTTTCTCCTCTAGAGGTCAACTCAATTCCATCTACCATAGAAGCTTATATAGGAATTCACTGATCGGTTACTTGTGTTTTTTGGGTGATTTTAGTGATATTTGTTCCAGTGTGTTACTCATATTGCTTAATTGCTTTGCAGTATCAGTTCGTGTAGCTTCTTCGTCTTATCAATTTTCATTTTCCCTGTTTAGGTATTGGGAAAAACTTTTGAAGTGATGGCCTCGAAGCGTATACTGAAGGAACTCAAGGATCTGCAGAAAGACCCTCCCACTTCTTGCAGTGCTGGTAATGTGATATTTTTTGCGCC